ATTACTTCTCCTGGTGCGTCGTCTGCAGGTAGCATGTCGCCGTGGAGTACATGGCGTACATTTGATGTTTGAAGCCTTCTTCATTGACAAAACTGAAAAATATAATTACATATATTTATGTATATTAATATAAACTCCAAATATTGTAATGTGTGGTTCATTTTAAATTGTATAACATATAACGAAACTGTTACCAAGAAGACAACTTGTCATTACTTCTCCTGGTGCGTCGTCTGCAGGTAGCATGTCGCCGTGGAGTACATGGCGTACATTTGATGTTTGAAGCCTTCTTCATTGACAAAACTGAAAAATATAATTACATATATTTATGTATATTAATATAAACTCCAAATATTGTAATGTGTGGTTCATTTTAAATTGTATAACATATAACGAAACTGTTACCAAGAAGACAACTTGTCATTACTTCTCCTGGTGCGTCGTCTGCAGGTAGCATGTCGGCGTGGAGTACATGGCGTACATTTGATGTTTGAAGCCTTCTTCATTGACAAAACTGAAAAATATAATTACATATATTTATGTATATTAATATAAACTCCAAATATTGTAATGTGTGGTTCATTTTAAATTGTATAACATATAACGAAACTGTTACCAAGAAGACAACTTGTCATTACTTCTCCTGGTGCGTCGTCTGCAGGTAGCATGTCGGCGTGGAGTACATGGCGTACATTTGATGTTTGAAGCCTTCTTCATTGACAAAACTGAAAAATATAATTACATATATTTATGTTTATTAATATAAACTCCAAATATTGTAATGTGTGGTTCATTTTAAATTGTATAACATATAACGAAACTGTTACCAAGAAGACAACTTGTCATTACTTCTCCTGGTGCGTCGTCTGCAGGTAGCATGTCGCCGTGGAGTACATGGCGTACATTTGATGTTTGAAGCCTTCTTCATTGACAAAACTGAAAAATATAATTACATATATTTATGTATATTAATATAAACTCCAAATATTGTAATGTGTGGTTCATTTTAAATTGTATAACATATAACGAAACTGTTACCAAGAAGACAACTTGTCATTACTTCTCCTGGTGCGTCGTCTGCAGGTAGCATGTCGGCGTGGAGTACATGGCGTACATTTGATGTTTGAAGCCTTCTTCATTGACAAAACTGAAAAATATAATTACATATATTTATGTATATTAATATAAACTCCAAATATTGTAATGTGTGGTTCATTTTAAATTGTATAACATATAACGAAACTGTTACCAAGAAGACAACTTGTCATTACTTCTCCTGGTGCGTCGTCTGCAGGTAGCATGTCGGCGTGGAGTACATGGCGTACATTTGATGTTTGAAGCCTTCTTCATTGACAAAACTGAAAAATATAATTACATATATTTATGTATATTAATACTAACTCCAAATATTGTAATGTGTGGTTCATTTTAAATTGTATAACATATAACGAAACTGTTACCAAGAAGACAACTTGTCATTACTTCTCCTGGTGCGTCGTCTGCAGGTAGCATGTCGGCGTGGAGTACATGGCGTACATTTGATGTTTGAAGCCTTCTTCATTGACAAAACTGAAAAATATAATTACATATATTTATGTATATTAATATAAACTCCAAATATTGTAATGTGTGGTTCATTTTAAATTGTATAACATATAACGAAACTGTTACCAAGAAGACAACTTGTCATTACTTCTCCTGGTGCGTCGTCTGCAGGTAGCATGTCGGCGTGGAGTACATGGCGTACATTTGATGTTTGAAGTCTTCTTCATTGACTAAACTGAAAAATATAATTAATATATATATAATAACATATATTTATGTATAATAATATAAACTCCAAATATTGTAATGTGTGGTTCATTTTAAATTGTATAACATATAACGAAACTGTTACCAAGAAGAGAACTTGTCATTACTTCTCCTGGTGCGTCGTCTGCAGGTAGCATGTCGGCGTGGAGTACATGGCGTACATTTGATGTTTGAAGCCTTCTTCATTGACAAAACTGAAAAATATAATTACATATATTTATGTATATTAATATAAACTCCAAATATTGTAATGTGTGGTTCATTTTAAATTGTATAACATATAACGAAACTGTTACCAAGAAGACAACTTGTCATTACTTCTCCTGGTGCGTCGTCTGCAGGTAGCATGTCGGCGTGGAGTACATGGCGTACATTTGATGTTTGAAGCCTTCTTCATTGACTAAACTGAAAAATATAATTAATATATATATAATAACATATATTTATGTATATTAATATAAACTCCAAATATTGTAATGTGTGGTTCATTTTAAATTGTATAACATATAACGAAACTGTTACCAAGAAGACAACTTGTCATTACTTCTCCTGGTGCGTCGTCTGCAGGTAGCATGTCGGCGTGGAGTACATGGCGTACATTTGATGTTTGAAGCCTTCTTCATTGACAAAACTGAAAAATATAATTACATACATTTATGTATATTAATATAAACTCCAAATATTGTAATGTGTGGTTCATTTTAAATTGTATAACATATAACGAAACTGTTACCAAGAAGACAACTTGTCATTACTTCTCCTGGTGCGTCGTCTGCAGGTAGCATGTCGGCGTGGAGTACATGGCGTACATTTGATGTTTGAAGCCTTCTTCATTGACTAAACTGAAAAATATAATCAATATATATATAATTACATATATTTATGTATATTAATATAAACTCCAAATATTGTAATGTGTGGTTCATTTTAAATTGTATAACATATAACGAAACTGTTACCAAGAAGACAACTTGTCATTACTTCTCCTGGTGCGTCGTCTGCAGGTAGCATGTCGGCGTGGAGTACATGGCGTACATTTGATGTTTGAAGCCTTCTTCATTGACAAAACTGAAAAATATAATTAATATATATATAATAACATATATTTATGTATATTAATATAAACTCCAAATATTGTAATGTGTGGTTCATTTTAAATTGTATAACATATAACGAAACTGTTACCAAGAAGACAACTTGTCATTACTTCTCCTGGTGCGTCGTCTGCAGGTAGCATGTCGGCGTGGAGTACATGGCGTACATTTGATGTTTGAAGCCTTCTTCATTGACTAAACTGAAAAATATAATTAATATATATATAATAACATATATGTATATTAATATAAACTCCAAATATTGTAATGTGTGGTTCATTTTAAATTGTATAACATATAACGAAACTGTTACCAAGAAGACAACTTGTCATTACTTCTCCTGGTGCGTCGTCTGCAGGTAGCATGTCGGCGTGGAGTACATGGCGTACATTTGATGTTTGAAGCCTTCTTCATTGACAAAACTGAAAAATATAATTACATATATTTATGTATATTAATATAAACTCCAAATATTGTAATGTGTGGTTCATTTTAAATTGTATAACATATAACGAAACTCTTACCAAGAAGAGAACTTGTCATTACTTCTCCTGGTGCGTCGTCTGCAGGTAGCATGTCGGCGTGGAGTACATGGCGTACATTTGATGTTTGAAGCCTTCTTCATTGACAAAACTGAAAAATATAATTACATATATTTATGTATATTAATATAAACTCCAAATATTGTAATGTGTGGTTCATTTTAAATTGTATAACATATAACGAAACTGTTACCAAGAAGACAACTTGACATTACTTCTCCTGGTGCGTCGTCTGCAGGTAGCATGTCGGCGTGGAGTACATGGCGTACATTTGATGTTTGAAGCCTTCTTCATTGACAAAACTGAAAAATATAATTAATATATATATAATAACATATATTTATGTATATTAATATAAACTCCAAATATTGTAATGTGTGGTTCATTTTAAATTGTATAACATATAACGAAACTGTTACCAAGAAGACAACTTGTCATTACTTCTCCTGGTGCGTCGTCTGCAGGTAGCATGTCGGCGTGGAGTACATGGCGTACATTTGATGTTTGAAGCCTTCTTCATTGACAAAACTGAAAAATATAATTAATATATATATAATAACATATATTTATGTTTATTAATATAAACTCCAAATATTGTAATGTGTGGTTCATTTTAAATTGTATAACATATAACGAAAATGTTACCAAGAAGACAACTTGTCATTACTTCTCCTGGTGCGTCGTCTGCAGGTAGCATGTCGGCGTGGAGTACATGGCGTACATTTGATGTTTGAAGCCTTCTTCATTGACAAAACTGAAAAATATAATTACATATATTTATGTATATTAATATAAACTCCAAATATTGTAATGTGTGGTTCATTTTAAATTGTATAAAATATAACGAAACTCTTACCAAGACGAGAACTTGTCATTACTTCTCCTGGTGCGTCGTCTGCAGGTAGCATGTCGGCGTGGAGTACATGGCGTACATTTGATGTTTGAAGCCTTCTTCATTGACTAAACTGAAAAATATAATTAATATATATATAATTACATATATTTATGTATATTAATATAAACTCCAAATATTGTAATGTGTGGTTCATTTTAAATTGTATAACATATAACGAAACTGTTACCAAGAAGACAACTTGTCATTACTTCTCCTGGTGCGTCGTCTGCAGGTAGCATGTCGGCGTGGAGTACATGGCGTACATTTGATGTTTGAAGCCTTCTTCATTGACAAAACTGAAAAATATAATTAATATATATATAATAACATATATTTATGTATATTAATATAAACTCCAAATATTGTAATGTGTGGTTCATTTTAAATTGTATAACATATAACGAAACTGTTACCAAGAAGACAACTTGTCATTACTTCTCCTGGTGCGTCGTCTGCAGGTAGCATGTCGGCGTGGAGTACATGGCGTACATTTGATGTTTGAAGCCTTCTTCATTGACTAAACTGAAAAATATAATTAATATATATATAATAACATATATTTATGTATATTAATATAAACTCCAAATATTGTAATGTGTGGTTCATTTTAAATTGTATAACATATAACGAAACTGTTACCAAGAAGACAACTTGTCATTACTTCTCCTGGTGCGTCGTCTGCAGGTAGCATGTCGGCGTGGAGTACATGGCGTACATTTGATGTTTGAAGCCTTCTTCATTGACAAAACTGAAAAATATAATTACATATATTTATTTATATTAATATAAACTCCAAATATTGTAAAGTGTGGTTCATTTTTAATTGTATAACATATAACGAAACTCTTACCAAGAAGACAACTTGTCATTACTTCTCCTGGTGCGTCGTCTGCAGGTAGCATGTCGGCGTGGAGTACATGGCGTACATTTGATGTTTGAAGCCTTCTTCATTGACAAAACTGAAAAATATAATTACATATATTTATGTATATTAATATAAACTCCAAATATTGTAATGTGTGGTTCATTTTAAATTGTATAACATATAACGAAACTGTCACCAAGAAGACAACTTGTCATTACTTCTCCTGGTGCGTCGTCTGCAGGTAGCATGTCGGCGTGGAGTACATGGCGTACATTTGATGTTTGAAGCCTTCTTCATTGACAAAACTGAAAAATATAATTACATATATTTATGTATATTAATATAAACTCCAAATATTGTAATGTGTGGTTCATTTTAAATTGTATAACATATAACGAAACTGTTACCAAGAAGACAACTTGTCATTACTTCTCCTGGTGCGTCGTCTGCAGGTAGCATGTCGGCGTGGAGTACATGGCGTACATTTGATGTTTGAAGCCTTCTTCATTGACAAAACTGAAAAATATAATTACATATATTTATGTATATTAATACTAACTCCAAATATTGTAATGTGTGGTTCATTTTAAATTGTATAACATATAACGAAACTGTTACCAAGAAGACAACTTGTCATTACTTCTCCTGGTGCGTCGTCTGCAGGTAGCATGTCGGCGTGGAGTACATGGCGTACATTTGATGTTTGAAGCCTTCTTCATTGACAAAACTGAAAAATATAATTACATATATTTATGTATATTAATATAAACTCCAAATATTGTAATGTGTGGTTCATTTTAAATTGTATAACATATAACGAAACTGTTACCAAGAAGACAACTTGTCATTACTTCTCCTGGTGCGTCGTCTGCAGGTAGCATGTCGGCGTGGAGTACATGGCGTACATTTGATGTTTGAAGCCTTCTTCATTGACTGAACTGAAAAATATAATTAATATATATATAATAACATATATTTATGTATATTAATATAAACTCCAAATATTGTAATGTGTGGTTCATTTTAAATTGTATAACATATAACGAAACTGTTACCAAGAAGACAACTTGTCATTACTTCTCCTGGTGCGTCGTCGTTCATAGACGAGACGAAACTACTAAGCATTCCATGGATTCACCGTGCGGGTGCCGGATCCATCGCGTTGCAGGGAGAGGAGCTTCAACAGTGCCTGGGACTTGCGACCCAAGTGTAGGTTTAAGGGGCCCCTTAACTAACGCGCGTTATACGCTCACCTCCACTGTCCAAGCTCCTCTCCCTACCTAACCAAATTTGAAAAGAACCTACTAGGGCTGCCTTCGATATACGATCCAAGAATGCATTAATGTGAGTTCTGGACAAGCCCAAGCCCTTTAGTAGGTTGTAGATCGATTTCGCTGTTATACCTCTCGCTCCCACCTCTACCGCGTACAAATCTACTACGAACCTATTTCGAGTGAGTTCGTTTGTGAGCTCGTAATATTTGTTGACCTTGGGGGTATGGTCTTTGGGGATGTTGGTTTCCCAAGGGACCGTAAGCTCTATCATCACTACGCGCTTTAAAATTCGCGAAAACAAAAATATATCCGGTCTGGAGGCCGACGCACAAATATCCTCGGGGATTTTATATTGCTTTTCATACGTGTCCATCATTATAGTCCAATCCGACGCCGCTTTAAGGATGGAGTAAGGCTTGACGTTTGATTTTGTAGCCCTAGTGCCTTCTCTCACAAAACCTACTGATCGTTCGTTTGTGGTTATTTCCTTTTGCGCTCTGGCCACCGAAAGACTAACCGCTTCACGTATGACTTCTAGAACCCTATCGTGACGACGCGAGTATTGACCGCTGTCCAGGAGTACCTTACATCCCACCAGCAGATGCTTAGCAGTTCCAACTGCCTTTCCACAGATATAGCAAGTTTTGTCGGTACTTTTACCCCATCTTACTAAATTACTCTGATCTGGGAGAGTCATCTGGAACGCATTGATATAGAATTTTAGCAATGCTGGCGACCAATCATAAATTAAAGTGCGCCATTTTAATGCTAATGGGATGCAAAAATCTCCTATGTCTAACCACTCGTTCTGCATTTCTAAATTCATTGCATGAATCTTACATTTATCATTCTCGTCTTGCCGAATAAAAGACTTCAATATATCCGCATCTTGGACTTTCCTATTTGATCCTAACCCCGCTCTGTTACTTTGTGCTCCTATCATAAATTGCTTATGGAATTGAATTGAAGTCGTGACTCTAGCTCGGGGGCATCTTCATCTTTTGGGAGCGATGTCACTATGTCATCATGGGATTTCCCCAGGATATATCTCTTGGAAACTCTTAGGTGTTTATAGAGCTCCGATGGCCTTTTTAGACTCATCCCAAAACTATTGCTTCCCCTAAATAACGCCGATGAATCAGCCGTTAGAGCGAGCCCGAGCCACAACTTCAACATCTTTATGACGCCTGCATCTAACTTTGACAAAAGGGTTTTATTAAAATCATAGACGAGGAAAGGCCAATTCAAACGTGAAGTTAAGTAATTCTCGTAGATCCACGCTTTTTTGACGTTACTTATCAGTTGGCTATCTACCTTGTTAAGATCGTTCAAGAAGCTATCTACTATTCCTTCTAAAGATGGAGTACAGCCTATATTATCAATCTTACGACCGAGAAATTTAAATGGTGCATTTTCCGTAACCGTAGAAATGCATTGACCGCCTAACGATAGTCCCGGATCGTATGAGGTGTATCTTGTATTCCGCCTACCAAGACACAGACAATGACATTTACTGGGTTTTGTCCTCAATCCATCCGTCCACTTACAGAATTTATCCACTTGTATTGCGAGATCGTCAGCGAAGGCTAAAATGGATTCCGTGTATTTATTATTAAACTTAAACCGATAACCCCATTTTTTCTCGTTACAGATTAATTTGTCTACTAAGATGTTAATAACGATATTAAACGTAATTGGAGATAGACAACAACCTTGAAACAGTCCTACATTATAACTCAAACCTTTTGAAGGGCCTTCTTTAGTTATTATAGAAAACCTTAATTTTGAGTAATACGACGCGATCATATCTCTAACTAGGGGTGGAAAGTTGTACCATCTGAGCGCGAATAGCATCAATTCGTGTTGTATCGACCCGAACGCGTTCTCCAAGTCTGTCCAACAAACAGTGATTTGCCGCTCGCTTTTTCTAGCATCTTTCAAACTCTCCGACAGCAAGGTGTTGTGTTCTAGGCATCCAGAAATCCCGGGTAAAAACCTTTTCTGGTGATTTGGCCTAAAATAGTTGTTGCTGAGCATGAATCGCGTCATTCTCGTTTGTAGAACCGAGAAAAAGATTTTCGATATAGTATTTGTTAAAGCTATCGGTCTAGTATCATTCGGATCAGTAACTATATCTTTTTTGGGAATGAGGACAAAAATTGCTTTCCCGAAGCACTCCGGGATTTGCTTCCCTGACCAGATTTTACCGTATATATTTAGGAGGTGTTTACGAACCGATGGACATTTTTTTAATATATTCCTATTCTATATCCGTATGATCCTTCCTCATCCTATAATCCTCCTTATGTATAACATGCAGCTACAATGATTACACTAAACTAAGTTTATAATACTAGGGGTTTTATTAGATAAAGTGAGTGGAGTGTACGTTAATATACTGGCGGTTCAGATCATTATATTGAGATGATCTTGGCAATTAAATGTATAATCGAGACGATGTTTTTATGTTTAATAGAACTGTTATATGTGGAGGTTTTATGAAAAAAATATTTAGATCGGGCCAGTTATTTAATTTTTGCACCCGTAAAACAAACTCCAGGTCCAAAAAAAAACGGTTTAGTAAGAAACGCTAAGGTATGTATGTATATGTATGTGTATGTATATGTATCTATATATATGTGTATATATTATGTATATATCAATAGAAATTAATATGTATAGTTTTACTTTTACATACTACCGTCTTCATGTCTTTCTGCTTTGCCTAAGGGTTGACTGGGAGAGAATGCCTTCAGGCATTAAGTCCACCTTTTGTATCTACGTGTGTAGTTAGACAATAAAGATTTTAAATAAAAATAAATAAATAAACGCTAAGGTCGCTTTAGTCACCTCGCACAGAGAGTTTTATACAAGTGAATCAATGTTGTCTTAGATATAGAATATAATTCTTATTATAATATACATATAAGTTAGGTTCCTAGTAGGTACTGTTACAACTTACAACACAGCCTGTATACATCACACTCACCCTCTCACTAGTGAGTCTTAAATTACTTTTAATAATGATATAAAATATATTTAAGTATACGTCAGTGGTGTCCTAGTGGTTTGATCCTGGCAAGTACCAATGTGATGTTCCGAGTCATATGTACTTTATAAGAGTATTTAGACATCACTGATTAATGTATTCCCAAAGAGGGTTGATGTCAGGCAGGCGGCCGGTCGTAAAAACTATCAGCCAAAACTATTACTACATGTAAGGCAGACCCTGGCTATAGCTGGGAAATTTCCAGGTAGAAGATGAATATAAAGAGAATATTATAGACACACACACTCCTACACCATTCTACGTACTGATGGTTCAAACGATTATGAAATATATGGAAGTTGATGAAATGGTTTCGGTTATAATTATTTCATACCATCTTTCCGCCCGCAGCTTAGCCCGCGTGGAGTTCGGTTATATCACGTTTCCAAGAGAACCTTTCAAATGTCTGGGATGAAAACTATCTTATGTTATTTCTCAAGGTTAACTCTATGTCTGTACCAAATTTCATTAAAATCAGTTCAGTGGTTTAGGCGTGAAAGCGTAACAGACAGACAGAGTTACTTTCGCATTTATAATATAAGTAGGGATAAATATAACACGATATTTCTTTGAAATCGTGATATTTTAATTACTTATTTTCCAAGATATTTATATTTATCTTGTACTCTGTTAGATTTTAGATTACATATTTTAATATATTTTGCCAGGTAAAGCATGGAAATAAGCTTAGTATATTGTTTAAATGTTATGATATAGTATATGAGAAACAGTGTTTATCATTCTTGGTCATATTGTTATATGTTGTAGCTGTATATACCTGTACCATTCCTTTTAGACCAGCAGTAGAAGAAGTACGGCAGCTAACTGTCTGCTATGACGAACCTGGAAATAATACATACATATATATATATATATACAGGGTGACTGGTGAATTACTATCAATATTTAAGGAGCATACTCGGTACATGATTCTCATTCGAATTATGTAAAAAAAATAGGCACTTAATTTTTGACCAAATTTCCGTATAAATAAATAGTGTGTACACGTTACAAGGGTTCCAAGTGTGGACGCGCGCGGCGGCGTGTTGTTGTATCAGCACGCCGCCGCGCGCGAGTGTATGTGTGTGTGTATACCTAATCTGTAGGGTGTTCACACGATGCGTAATTAATTACAAAACTTTTGGTTAACTTTACTTAGAAATTTATTAATATTTATGTTATATTAATTTTTATTTTGTCATATATGATCGTCAAATATCACGTCCTCAAATATCGATAGTAATTCACCAGTCACCCTGTATATATATATATAATCAATTCTTATTAAAACTCATTAGTATTCGTGATTATTGTTAAAAGTAAAACGAGATCAAAGATTGTTTAAAAGAGAATAGACTTATGTTTGAATCTTGGTATAAATATGACGTCTGGACGCACGATGGCAGACTTCAGAGTTCAGTGAGTGCGTATCATTAAAGTATGTGATTATGAAGAACCTTCGATAAATACAGGAGCATTAAGTTAAGAACAATTGAAGTTTCATTTTAAAATAACATAGAACGTACTGAAAGAAGTGACATTAGTTACGTCAACGAGACTGTAAAAACAACGAATATGTAATAAATCCTATATATATATATATACTATATATATGTCCTATTAAATTCTTATAACCATTTTCAACTTTTGAGTATTTTTTTCCACTTTGTCCACAAAATCTATCGGGTCGGCTTAACGGATTTTATGTCTATCTTACAGAGAGGGTAGTATGATATAACATAATATAATACTGTTAGTACTCTCGGGAGATTTACAAAGAGATAGTCAAAGTAAAGGGGAGAGTTAGTTATAATGCTAAAATATTTAAACTTGTATTAATTTAGTTCTATTTATAAACGAGCATGATGAACTAAAAAATAAGTTCTACTTATTGTTGCTATTACTGCTTAAACATATACTTAAATAGTTTTTAAATTTAAAACGTCTATATAATGAGGTTTTAAACTTCAACTAGTTGTTAATATTATCATGTTTATACACTTTACATATATAAAGAGATCTAAGATTTACGCGAGTCTTATTCATTTAAATGAAACTAATTATTTTCGATATGCTAAGTGAATTTCTTTTTGATAAAAACTACATACTCCCGACGTTTCGGTTACTTTACATCAACCGTGATCATTAAGACGAGATGTGAATGTCTGTCAATTTGTCTTTAATTTCAAGAAATGTGATTAATAACGAGATTATGTAGTTTATATCAAAAATAAAGTGTCGTGGGAAATCCAAAAATTTATTAGTTTCATTTAAATGACTATATATGTATATTATAATTATTACTATTATAAAACACAATTCAGTATTTGAAGCTGCTCCTTTCTGTTCATTGCGTTTTCGTCGCTTCTCAATCTAAGCCATCGTGTCTTGTAACCCTAGTGTAAGTTTTATTAATCAAACTCAGTAAAGAACGTTTGACTTTATTCATAATCTGTTTGTAAACTATCGCGCGAACAACAAAATTAGAGAGTTTTACCTACCAATAAAACTTACCTATTATTTTTCCTTAAAACATCCGGAATCCATCTTGAGTCAAGCACCTGTCTTTTTAGCCTTTTTTGTCCAGTTTTCGCTCCCTTCCGGTGCAACTTCAGCCCTCTAATGTCAATTTGGCGGGAGAAAACTTGCACATTTTAACAAATTGATATTTCTTACCTCATTATACATACTCGAGATGAACCAGGTAGAAATTACCTGGATTCCGGATGTCTTAAGGAAAAATAATAGGTAAGTTTTATTGGTAGGTAAAACTCTCTATTATTGTTCCATGTTGACATCCGGAATCCATCTTGAGTGACGTGTTTGTTATCACCTGTTCATAAATATTATGACGATGCTATAATGTGTCCAATAAAAATTAAATTATTGGAATAAAATAATTTATTTAAATAACAATTTGATTTAAGGAATCTATCAAAATAGCTTGACAGCCAAACTTTTGTGCTTTCCTGTGACCGATTTAATACAACTCTTTTAAAACCTCTTATAGGTAAAGGATCTTGCCCCCGTTTCTAGTTTCTAAATTTTATCTATTTGAAAGCATTCTATCTAGTTAAGGGAAGCTACTGAAGGTCTTACAGATCTGGGAGAAGCTTCAATACCAGCTTCTTTGTGTAAAGACTGATTCCAAACTCGACCATATTTGACGCTACTCTAGGTCCGCCCCTCGAGCTGTCAAAGATAATTTATTTAAAATTATTGACTTACTCTGCGCTTCCTTTGGATAAATCAACCAATCGGTAAACCCAGTATATTATATAATCAAGCGATGTAGTGTTTGTATCTATACAATAGATTTAACACACTAGTCTCATGTACCCCAATAGAGGGCGGCATTCGCCTGGCAGCCTCACGACCAGCGCGGAGCAGAACGGTGACGAGCGGCTGCACTTTAGGCGGGGATAGTAGTGAGCCAATGACTAGATATTCTTATATACAGGAAGGGGGTCCTACAACGGGCTTGTAATGGGCTTTGTAAAATTTTCCTTCCTGACTGCCTGTAACTAATCAGTCTTAGATTCGGATCGTGGCCAAAATGTAACGGGATTACCCTTATCAATAAGATTTTAATCTTCAATTGTTAATAAAGTGAGATAATGGACTTTACGTCCTGACGATAAAAGCTGCAGGATTGCTACTACAATGAGGAAGTCCCGGCTTCGCCCGGGGGGGGGGGGGGAGGGTCAGGGTTAACGCTCCGAGGCGTAAGCTAGCTACGACCCTACCTGTAAATGTAGGCAGGCCATTCTGGAAGGCATTTGCAGCCCTGGTTTTGTGACAGAGTCGCCACTAGCGAGGCGGTGCCCAGGGACAGCAGGTCCCACATGGCTGGCCTCCTGCCAGCGGCAGAGGATTTCTATTAGCCACCGCAAACACTATAAATTGTTTACATTTACCAGATGTGTGCTGAAATATTGTAAACAATTTAAGAGTCCCAGATAGGTGATGTGGAACTCTTCTTTTTTGGGTTACTGAAATA